CCGAGCCCGAGCCAAAGATGCGAGACATTGTATTATTATGAATACGTACACTTTGTAACAGTTTCGTAAGTGAAACACGAACGGACAAGCAAAAACAGAAATTGAAACGAGACGAAGAATTGCGGATTACTACTACACGAAGAGAGGAGGAGGTGAAGGAATTATTATTTTTTGCAGTATGTGGGCAGTTTCAAATATTCGCATTAAACTCAATTTTATTACGAAACATTCGAGTTTTATCTTTCGCTTACTGTTAAATGTGAATCACACCATCCCATATTCAACGGGGACTGTTTTTTTTTCTGTTTTTAATCGGACTGTTAGCATTCGCAATGAACTAATAGCAATAATTTCTATGCAAGTAACTTGAGATACTGCGCAATCATAATATGCATACAATCGACGTAAAATAAACATCAATATTCAACTATAACAGTTATTTACTATAAAGTTGCGTACACACAATGTTACAAGAATGTGTATAAATTATGATGCAATTTAGTATTTAACTTTTTGTAACCTTTATTTTATTCACAACCTGCCAATTAGTATTTAAACAATTTATACATTTTTCTTCATCCATTAATAATAACAATTTTCTTTACTTTTCCATTTTTCAAACTAAATACTTTCACTATAATAAAAAAGCAAATGTTTGCTCAAATATTGTTTTCATACATATTTATTCAACATTTTCTTCATGTATTAACAATGATATTTTCCAATTAAAACTGATTATTAATAAACATAATAACTAATTAGATTCGAATGGAAGTTAACAGATGTATGAGAAAATTAGTTTAAATTTAAACTTATTCCTAATCTAAACTCATAAATTAGATTGATAAAAATGTCTTATTATTTTTCAGTTAATGTAATTCCAGTTATTCACTGATTAACTAACATTAACATTAACAATATCAATAAAATTTATGTGGCGGAAATGAGATACAACGTCATTTTAAACCTTTAAATAGAAGGAGAATTTTATCGGATACGTTTTAAAAAGGGGAAGGCGATTTCCTGAATGAATACAATTTTCCTGTGACCATTTGATAGTGACGATGATGAATCATCGGATGGAACTTTTACACGTCATGTGCATTTACCGAGTCCAATTTTCTGGACTATTAAGTACGGATGGAGCAATGAAACCCGGAGCAGGTAAATGCAGTAAACACCTCTAGTCATTCTATATTGTAAACAGTAATTGAGCAAACATTTATTGTTTTATTATAGGGGACAAGTTTTATGCTTGAAAAATGGAAAATTAAGAACAATTTGTCTTTGTTAATAGATAAAGAAAATGATGAAGAAATATTTATGAAATATTTAATTGAGCAAACATTTACTGTTTTATTATAGTGTAATTTTTAAGCTTTAAATATGGAAAAGTAAGGAAAATTTGTCATTGTTAATAGATGGAGAAAGATTGAATAAATATTTATGAAAATAATGATTAAGCAAATATATATTGTTTTGATATAGGGAAAGTTTTAAGCTTGGAAAATGGAAAAGTAAGGAACATTTGTCATTGTTAATAGATGAAGAAAAGATGAATATATATTTATGAAAACCATATTTGAGCAAAATAGAAAAATATTTAAGCTTGGAAATTGCAAAAGTAAGGAAAATATCATTGTTAATACATGAAGAAAATGATGAATAAATATGTATGAAAACAATAATTCAGAAAACATTTATTGCTTTATTATAGGGAAAGTTTTAAGCTTGGAAAATGGAAGAGTAGGGAAAATTATGATTGTTAATAGATGAAGAAAATGATGAATAAATATGTATGAAAACAATAATTCAGAAAAAATTTATTGCTTTATTATAGGGAAAGTTTTAAGCTTGGAAAATGGAAGAGTAGGGAAAATTATTATTGTTAATAGACAAAGAAAATGATGAACAAAACAAACAAATCTTGGTATCTACTACTAAATGTTGCTATTGTATCCTCGATCATATCTATATGAAGATCTTTGTGTATTTGTTTATTCCTGACGAACCATTGAGCCCTAATGTCATTTCATAGGTATTTTGATTGGAACCTTTATATAATTTGTATGTTCGATTTACTGGCCGCATCCCACAATTGGATACCATACGTCCATCCTTTCCGACCTTTTCCCTAGAAGCCAGTAGAGTTTTCTAAACTTTATTTCTAATTGCTCCCTCTTAGCCTGAATGTGATCTTTCCAGGCCAGGTGAGTCTTCTGTCTAGATGCATGCCTAGATATTTGACTTTTGTCGCTTTGGGCAGATCTTGTCCATTAAGTCTTACAGTTGGGCAGATGTCTTTCTTTAGCGTGAATGTGATTTCATTTCGTTAACTGCTATTCTCCATTTCTTAAGCTATTCTTGAAAACCATAATTGAGCAAACATTTTAATATAGAAAAAGATGGAAAAGTAAGGAATTACATTAACTGAAAAATAATAAGACATTTTTATCAATCTAATTTAGTTTAGATTAGGAATAAGTTTAAATTTTCTCATACATCTGTTAACTTCCATTCGAATCTAATTAATTATTATGTTTATTAACAATCAGTTTTAATTTTATGAAATTTCGCTTTACCAATTAATCAATTTTAAATCTCACTTTTCAGTTTCATTAAATGTTACTTTTATTAATAATGTGTTCCAATTTTACGAATTTTTGCTTTACCAATTAATCTGTTTATTTAGTGGTACTAATTTCATGAATTTCCAAATTCTCATTTTATGAATTACTTAAATAATCTATTGAAAATGAGATCTAATTTTACAAATTTTCGTTTTTTTCGAATTAATCTGTTTTTTTATTGGAAATTGATACTCATTTCACGAATTTTCACTTTACTAATTAACTAATTTCGAAACTCAACTTTAGTTTACAAAAATAATACTTTGCGTTTTCATTTTACGAATTAATCTATTAAAATTTTGAATATTTTTACGAGTTTTCGCTTTATAAATTAATCTGAAAGTTTGTACAAATTTCAGGAATTTTTGAGTTTAAATAAATATTACGTTTATTGATAATCATTTTTCAATTTACAAATTTTCGCTTTACGAATTAATCCGTCAGTTTAAGAAACAAAATATAAGAAACTTACCGAATTCGAATTGATGAAAAATCACTCCTAATTAGTAATAAAACCATTATTTTTGCAACTAGCATTAACCATGAATTTCAAGATTTTTAAATCTGTAAAAGGTAGTAAAAAAAAACCATAATTGTCACGGAACGTTAATTCTTTCTCCAGTAATTTTTATAAAGAAAGAACACGTCTTATACAATCAAAAAAAAAGGAATTCAAGAACCGTGCGTTAATTAATTAAGCATGATATAATTATCGCTATATCCGTGTCAGTTTCAACAAAATACATTACAAAAATATGAATCATTTAACAGTTAGTGACAAGAACAACGATTATCATCTCTATTTATAAAACTTCGCTTATAAAATTCACATTTTTATATTCACATATTTTTTATGTCTTTTTCGCGTCCGCTCTTCAATACCCGAAACTTTACGATGCGATATTTTTTAACGTTATATTTTTGTTTTTATTGACTAAGATAATTATTGTAACTTGATCAGTGGCGGAACTTCGAATCTTTGTCCCATCCATGCAAAATATTCACTCGAGATTCATAGCACTTCATAAAACCTAAGTAAATTTGGAGAACTTATACCAATTTGATGACACCTAGAAAATTTTTGTTTCAGGCTGCCTTGATTAACCACCAATTAAAATGTGAGTGTCGGTTTTTGGGTGAGCCACATTAAGAATGTCGTGGGCCCGAAACAAATTTTTATTTGAGCTTTCCCTTGATTTGAAATAGAGAAAATCATAGAACTATAGAACTACAGTTAAAATGGATAGACTGTTCTTAGAGGGGAGGACACATTATGAAAACTGTGGGACCAGGACATCAGTTAGTTTTACTATTTGAGGGTCCAAAACAAATTTTTATTTAAGGCCTCCCTTGATTTGAAATAAAGAACCCCATAGACAACAATTAAAATGTGAGTGTCGGTTCTCGTGGGGCCACATTAAAAATGCCGTGGGCCCTATACACCAGTTAATTTTACTATCCGAGGGCCCGAAACAAATTTTTCTTTGGACCTCCTACAAATCCAAGATTCAACAGCATTGTAGTTCCGCCACTGAACTTGATGTTTTTCTTCAAGTTGTTGTTGTTGCTTACTTTTTTTTTAATGTTATAATAAAATTACGTTATTCTACGGTTTCTAAATATGACACTCGTATTCTTTTTTATTATTTTTTTCACTCATTTATTGATCTGCGTGGTGCGTGAGAGTATACGTAAATATAAAGTGGAATGATTTCGTAATAAAATAAGAAATAATAAATAAATTAACAGTATATTATAACACATAAATGTTAATATCAGTTCAATGCATAGCAAATGAAAAAAAAAATTATGTATACAATATCCATTCATTCACATGTAATATATAATTTTTGTTTGTTTTTCGTTTTATATGTATATAATATATAAATAATGTTTTAGCATGTACCTAGATCCATAATTAAATACATATCTATGTAATAGTTCAATATAAACGTAGAAATTGTTTAAATAGTTTTCGTGTCTAAGTGCGCTTCGTTCAATTATTTTTTTCATTTTGTTTTTTCTTCTCTTCACCTCCTCATCTTCTCATCGTTTAATATTGGGATTACGTCTATGCAATGTATAAATATATGTAAATATATATATATAAAAAAAAATGACGAATTAAAAAACAAAAAAAAAACAAAACAAAACAAACACATCTAGATTGGCAATTTCGTGAAAATGAACACAGTAGATCCTCCATCTTCTTTTTTCTTTTGTTTCGTACAAAGAAATATAAACGAACTAATTTATACAAGACAAAAATAATTATAATAATAAATACAGTGGAAATAATAATAAAAAAAAGAATATATATAAAAAAATAATAACAATTATATAAATATTTCTATATAAAATAATTTACAGAGAGAGGGAAAGGAAACAAAACGAAAAAAAAACGCTTTGTGGTAAAGGGTGGAGGACGTACTGTGGAACGCATGTTTTCTTTTTCTTGTTGTTGAAACATTGGTCCGAATTTCTTTCTTCTTTAATTAAATTAATTTAATTCGTAATTATAGTCGCAGTCTAGATTATAGCGGATTAATTGATGCACCTCTAATGTCAGAAAAACCAAAAACGTGAGCGAACACGAAATTATAATCTCTTTACTGTCTACATCCGTTCGTGATGACACGTTCTCTGCTGTCGTCTCTGTTAACGGAATTCCGTCGCGGCGGTGAGTTTCCTGCTCCGATCCTGTTCTTCCTGGACCTCTTGAACTTAGCGATATCTTCACCGAAAACATCTCCCGTCCTCAACGCCGAGATGAGATCGTCGAATTCGCCTTTCGCGTCACCCGTCGTCTCTCCGTTCTTCAGACTCAGAGATTTGCTGATGCTCGAGAGGATTCCTTCTCTGCTGTGTTTCCTCTCCAATGTGAGCTTCTTCAGTGCTTCTTCCTGTTTGGCACGTTTCTCTTCCTCCTCCTGTCTTTTACGCATGTTCTCGTTGTCCTGGCGAGCCTCGGTGAAAGTCATCAAGAAGGTGTCGAAGATGCCGAAGAATTCATCGGGTTGCACCGCGTTCGGATCCTCGCCGAACAATCTCACTGCTCTTTCGAATCGAGTCTGAAAGGACAAAAGCGGATTGTAAATTATTAATTGCAATTTGCAAAAATTGTTAATTATACATTCAACGCTTCATAATTAATCATAATTGACCCAAATTGCTTGTGTGTTGTTAATAAGTGCTTTGCTGAGATTGCACTTTGGACTACAACCTATCCCCTAGTCATGAATTACGCAATAATAAGCTAACATTTCAAGAAGAAAAAAATGAAAGAAAACTTTCATGGCCATTAATAAAATATAATTTTTAGTTGTAGCATAGTTCTATAGCTTTCAGCTTTAATGCATTCAATTATTGCCTTTCCTCCACAAAAATTAATAGAAAATAACATAAAATAAATTGTTATTTTTTATTCAAATCAAACCCCTAACTATGATTTAGGTAATATTAGAACAACATTTAAAATAACAAAAAAAATGTTGTCTTTCCTCAACTAAACATTAAATATGCAACTATAACTATTGATTTTTTGTATAATTTGACTAAAAATAGATATAAAATGAGTGTCAACATATTTCTTTGTAAATTCGTTTTAATTCAATTTTTAATAATTAATTAACTTTTGTATTAATACTACCTAAATATTTTTTATTTTTTAGACGTTAATAAGAATATTACGACAATCTTTAAATTCAAGTATTTTGAAGGATTTTTATCGAGAAAGTTATGAAATAATCTGAATTTTCTTAAGCTGTGCTATAAAACCAGTTTAACAGAGCGTTAGTTCTGTATAGGCAACCAACATAACTTGTATTAAGAAATATTCATTTATACTTGCATTTGCTCCATTAGGAAACAAATCTTATCATTTAAATCAGCTTAAATTTATATAATATTTCTTAGAGACAATTCAAAAATATAATAGTCTATATATCAACAACGACATTTGTATCCATTTTAAAGATTTGATTAATTAACTTAATGAAATATAATAGAAAACATGTCTATAGTTAGTTTCCTAAAGGATTAAACTTCATTTTGATTGCAATGGATTTAAAAACTTGTATATTAGTTGTAGTTTAATTGTAGTAGAATTTAGGATAAAATTGAGACAAAATCTGTAGAAACTATTTTTTTTTATAAATATAATACTTATACTCAATATTAAAAGAAAATCCTTAGAATTTGAAATGTTTTTTTTTTAATATTTCATTTTTAATAAAATCCAAAGCTTGTCTACTTTTCAATAAAAATTAACACTTTTTACTAACAAAAAATAGTGAAAGAAAAAACTTTATTGAAATACATGTATTTTTGATTAAGTAAGTCGAAAATCAAACTAATAAGTTTCTATTAACAAAAGATAATAGAATATAAGTTGTAGTCGAATTTGGGACAAAAATTAAGACTAAATCTGTAGCAACTATTTTTTTGAAATATAATAATTAAACTCAGTATAATAAAATGCAAAGCTTTTCGACTTTACAATGAAAATAATGAAAAAGAAACTCGAATCAGTGTATTTTTGATCATGTGGGAAGAAAAATCTTTCCACTGTTTACTTAAATAAATATAAAATTCAATTAAAAAGTTTCTACAATTAGGAGACAAAACGTATAAACTATAAATGGCTATTTATAAAGGGTGTCCCAAAATTAACGCAAGATTTGAATTTCCCGCCATTACGTGTTGGCAACACTAAAAAAATTCCAATCTGAAGACCATTTATAAATAAATATAAAATTCATAATACATTTTGATAATTTTCTAATTCATTGTTATTTGCAATTTCTTATTTTCCCAAAAGGCTAACGACCATAGTATTTCTGTCAATTTTCGTCTTAATTATCATTTACTATCCATTATATAATAAATTCCCTGATCCACATCCAATTAACATTATGCAATTTAATGAAAACAAATGTGACAGTATAGACAACTAGATTTACGTCTCAAGAAAACATCCATTAATTTCGATTTAAATAAAAAAAAACTGTGTGAACCTTTCCAGTAATTATGGATTTTTAACGAACAATATTCTGTGAGCCGTGAAGGAATAATGGTCACACGATGCATTTAAAATGAACGAATAAATTTCGAGGGTTCGCAGCTGTCTAATTGGATATGTCTTCAACCTGTTTTTTTAGGAAGAGGCGCGTGCTCGAAAGGCCCAAAGACATACAAGACCACCTGTCCCTCAGCAAACAGCTGTCCAAAAGCTAAGATAAATTACGACCCCCGAAGTGATTCCTCTTTCAAATTCCTAGTCTTTCCTATACATGTAAGCACACCTTCTGCACTTGCATCTTCATCGTCCACCTGCTTTAGCTACTGTTTGATGAACATCTGTTTTTTCTATATACTTATAAGGAAACACGTGTTGTTTTGTAATCTATTCTCATATTCTTAATAAATATTATTATCTAATCAAAAATTGTGTTTCTGTTTCGTGAGAAGTTTGGTCAAAAGAATCACTAAATTTTGTAATTTATTAATTATTTAATAGAAATGTGTCTGTATGAGTTAATAAGGAAATACAACTTACTTTCATATCTTGGTATTGATCCTCGATTTCCGCGAGGCGACAGGTGGCCGTGGCCTGGAACTCCCTCATGACAGGAACGAATTTGTCATTGGCCACTGGATTCTGCTTCCTGTGGAACTCGATTTCTTTGGTAACATCCTTCAAGCCGGCTCGCAGCTGACCCATGTCCTTGTTCAGCTCTGCTAAGGATACTTTAGCTGCGTCCCTCACGTGCGACAGATCCTCATCCATCCGCAAAATATCTTTAAACTGCAATACAAAAAGCATAGAAATTACATTGATGAAATGCAGAGATTGTATAAAAACACTCACTTTCTTTTCCAAAATCAACACCAAATAATGCAGCAACGTCGTTCCCTTGGATGCGCTCGACTTGGTATCGGCCAAACGGTTGAGCGAAGCCAACTTGAAGCCGGACGCGTTTCCTCTGGCACCTCGGTTCATGTAGTTTCCAAGAGCGAGAACGATTTCCAACAGTCTTCTTAGCCTCCTGGAGCGCGAAACCTCTCTGGAAGCTTCCATGACGCTCGCTATCCTCGGAAGGATCTCGTTGACGGTGATGGTGAACCTCTTCTTGTAGTGAAGGCTGCGCAATCTCTGCTCGTAATGTGGTACTCTACAATGAAATAGAATTTGTAATTCCACTTTCCATAATTTTTTTATTTTTGATGTTACTTTGAAATTTCGTAGAGGAATCGATCCGCTCTGGCCAAGGAATCGATTTCGTCGCCGTGCTCCTCCAACAGAGCTCTCTCTTCGGGACTAGGTGTGAACTTCAGGAGTTGTTCCACCATGTCTATTGGTAACTGTTCCTTGCTGTCCATGCTCAGGATGGACTTGGTGATGTCCTCGTCGGACATCTTCAGTTTGGATAGGAGAATGGTGCAGTTTTGAGCGCGTCTTCCGTCGATCACCGACAACACTTTGGTTTTTCCTTTACCTAGCTGTCTTAAATCCTCAATGGAACCTTCATTCTGCAACCATCAAAATACATACAAAACTTAGTATAATGTTGATCAATTTTCATATCAGTTAACTTACGGTAACTCCATTCTTCTGGTAAGCGCAGAACAACTTGTCGATATTATCCAGTTCCATGGCGTTGTACAGCTTGGTGTCATCTAATTCGCTCCAAATTGTACCGTTGAGCTTCGCGTCGGGTAGTTTAGACCAATTGAACGATTTCAGTGGATTCGCCGGTTGCGGTACGTTTTTCTTCGGCATCTCCATGCGAAGAGGTTCCGGTGGAGCCATCGGTGCGCACGGAGGTGGCGGAGGACCAGGAGCCGGTGGTGGCGGTGGCGCCAACGGCGGAGGAGGCGGTGGAATCGGACTGTAGTTTGTTTTGATCTCAGCACCGGCGCCTCCTTCGATCGCAGACTTAAGTCCGATGACTTTGGCATCGTCCGGAATGTTACCCGACGTGACTAGACGCTCCAACCTATGCCGTTCGCCCCTTTCGCAGTTGATCTGCCTATCCAATTCGGTGATTCTGTATTCGAGCTCGCTGTACTTCTGTCTGGTCTCGATGTGAGAGGCCGTCTCCTTTTCCAGACGCTCCTTGATTCGAGCCAAACTAGATTCAATGTCCTCCTTCTCTTGCGTCCTCTGATCCAACTCTTGCTCCTTCTTCGCCAATCTGTTGGACATGTCGTTGTTCTCCTTCTCCAATTCCCCGGCCATCTTCCGCGCCGCCACCAACTCTTCCTCTTTGGCCAACAAATGAACGATCTTCTGCACGTTAATCTTGATAGGCGCCAAATCCGGATCCCTAACACCGTTCAGCTCGTTCTGCTGCAAAGCGATTTGCTGCACGATCCTATCGAACAACAACCAATACTGCGGATAAGTCTCCGAGGAAACCGGTAAAGTTAAGCAGTGCTTCAGCAAGGATAGAAGATGAGGATAGGCCGGTGTGTGGCTCAATTTGCGTCTGATCAGATCGAACATAGCCGAAGCGCTTTTGGTATCAATGTGTTCTTGATCGAACTTCTTGGCCAGCTCCTTTTCATCATCGTTACGAATCATCTCGAAGAAGTCCAAATGCCGATCCAACGTTTCATTCTCATGCCTCCTCAACTTATCGATTACAGGCTGTATGCCGAGCATCAGAAACTCGTATCGCAAATGCAGACGGAACTCCAGATTCTCCTGACCCAAATCGTAGTTGAGGACGGCATTGATGAAAGACATGATTGCCGTCTTCAAGTTGACTTCGTCACGATAAACACCGGTCGATCTATCCAGATCGTTGATGATCCCCTGGAACCTGATGCGCTCGTAAGCGTACTTCTGGTAATGATGCATGGCATCCAAAACTTTCTTGTGACCACCGCTGACCAAGCAAACAGCTCCCAGAATCTCGAGAACGGCAATCTTAGTCTTGATGTTTTCCGTGCTCAAGGATTGCGCTATGGTGTTAATACTCGTCGGATGAGCCAACACGTGAGCTCTTCCAGTCTGCAGACAAAACCAAATTATCATAACCAAATCTTCAACTTACACAAAAACAAAACTCACCGAATTGTTCATGAGCGCTTTGACGCAACCTATGATGCTGGTATGTATCGTGCTTTGAGCTGTAAAGTAGTCCATGTTCGTTAAAAAATCTAATAAGGCCGGCAATCCCTCCAACTCGATGAACTTGATGACGAAACTGTGGGTGGACGTTCGCAGGGCGGTTTTCAGGCCGTCTATTTGTTTCGTCCTGGTTCTCACGTCTTCATCGATGTTGCATTCCTCCTGACATTCTTGCTACAGAAAAAAAAAACAATCATAAGATTAAGAAAGATAATGTTAAGTAAGTGGAAGACGTACATTGGCGAAGGTCTTAAGGATCTCGATGTAATGTTCAGGAGCGTGCGTCAAATCCACCACGTCTTCGCCACCCTTCTGAGAGCAATAGATTTGCCATTTCTTCTGCGAAGGCAAACCAAGCATCGCCGCTTTGTTTGGTGCTGTGAGATCCAATTCTTCCTAAACATCAGAAAACATTAAGTTACAACCATATATTTTATCATTTTATAGAACTTATTGCAATTACAACAAAAGCATCCCAATTATAAGTTTGGAATTGAAGATAATTCTACCTAAACACATCCAATCTCAACTCTTCAAGATTTTAACGTTTCGTAGAACTTTAAGTTTCAATTACAATACTTAAACACACCTAAACGAACAAAGATTAAGAGAAAACTATCCAAAGTTGATATGAAAAAACATACCACGAGCTCTGCAAATTTGGCATCCAATTCATCCTGCGGTGGCATTGGTTGTGTGGGTGTGATGGCCTGAAGAGACAGGGTTCCGGTATTTTCGACGACGCAATACGTGATTTCGGGTGGTTCATCGTCCTGCAAGAGTAGAAGAACATATGAAAAAAAATATGAAAGGTGGAAGAAGAAAATGAATGCGAGGAATCCAGAGAGAGAATTCGATCGAACAAAACGCGGAGGTTTCGTAATTACCATTGTTGCGATTTCCGTGCAGGAAAAAAAAAATAAAATTATGCATTACTTTCATAAGCTGCAGCAGCGGCAGCACGTCACAAACGATAAATGTAAATCTAATGTGAAGAGATCCGTGAAACAATGATGATGATGATGCCCCCTTTTCCTCATCACTTATTTATTAATTTATTACGGCAAGTAAAAAGGTTAACTAACACTTCAGATTCTCTATACTTATTACTTTAATTATTACATAAATTCCATCAGTTAAAGCAGTAATCATTAGAAATCTACGTTACATAAACGTCTCTAATTAAGAAAATTAAATTATTTACTTAACTTTCCATTGGAAAAAAAGGTAATTTCTTTAATTGAACTATTTATGCAAATCATTATTTATATAAACAAAATACTTATACTACTTAAGTCACTTAAAATCACATTAATTTTCTTAATTTAATGTAAAACAAATTAATTTAACAACTATAAATATTTTAATTATTTCACTTAGATAAGCATAGATTAATAATCATTTAAAACTAAATTTATTTTCTGTAAAGTAAAGGTTTTAAAGTTGAAGTTAATTTAACAAATACAAAATGCGAATGTAAACCCGTGTGTAATTAATATATTTCATACGTGATTTTCATGTAAATTGCATAAATTATGAACTAGTATTAACTAGTTAATGTTGAATATTGTTAATTTCTAGATTCCAGTTCGTTGTAGCTCGGAATGGGAACGAGGTAAATGCTCATTAAGTTCGCAAATGTTTCTAATGATTGACCCCCTGAACTCGACACCAGGAAAGTCTGGCATTCCGTTTTATTAACGCATTTATCTCTGTTTGAATGTATTTATCGAAACGTTTCTAAAAACAACTTATTCGCACAGCATCATAAAATCATGGAATTTTAATACTTTAACTTTAACGAACACAATTAATTACTCAAATTTAGTTATGAAAAGTTTAAATGTAATTAAACTTATATTAAAAATTGAAATTTTCATTGTTGTTTTCTTGTCTATTAGCATTTGCAGGAAATGGTGAACGACTTTACTACAAATTAGCATTTCTAAGTGAAATAACATCTAGTTATTTAAATAAGATGGAAAATGCTTTAGGAAATCGTTCGAATAGTAATTTCCTTCTTAAAGCAAATCGAAAAAACTATTTCCTTGTAAGTCTTCAAAATTAATTGAAATTCGCTTAAGGGAGAAATTATAAACAAATTGTATAATTTGTGTTAAAATCAATAATTTTATTAAATTATTAATGAGATTAAAAAAAAATTATATAAATTCATAATTAAATTATTAAAAAAAATACATTCATACAAAAATTATTTTGTCTAGAATTTTGATGATAGAGAAGTGAATATTTCATATTAGATACGGACGTAATGAAGAATAAAATTAGAATTTCTTGTGGTGCATTCGATCAATCAGGATGTGGTCGAGAGAAGGAACAAAACAAGAAAAAAAAAGCGATTATTTGCAGCGGTTTACGGCGACTGACGAAGGAATTCAATTGAGTAGATCAAAAGGTATTTATTTCCCTTCATTGATTTTCGAGGACATGACAAATTTTAAAATAAAATAAATATCAAACATATTTATATATTTTTGTTTGATAATAGAATAAAATTAAAAAAAAAACTGATAATGAAATACAATTATGAAGATTGCAAAATTGCAATTCAATTAGTTTTATTGAAATTATATAAGTCAATGAAATTATATAGGGAGTGTCATGAAAGAAACGTTACTATTTTGTTTCATCCATATATAATTGTTTTTGAGGTTATGTTCATTTCGGTTTGATTTGAATTATGCAATTATAAATGACAATTAAATTGTAAAACTACGTCAAAATTAAGTGTTATGAAAGAATATTACTATTTTGTTTAGTTGCCTTCGAGGTTATGTCAATTCTGGTTTGATTTGATTGAATTATTTATTTTGTCTAGTCGCTATTTATTTGTTTTTGAGGTTATGTTAGTTGACAGTTGACAGTTCTATAATAAAAAAAAAAACCTCGTGAGTGGTCTAGACGTGGGCCCTCATGTCTAGTATATACATTAGGCATACTAGACACGAGGGCCCACGTCTAGAAAAATAGTCTGACTGTTGATAATCCTGAGAAATATTATGTTAAAGAATATTTTAGTTCAATTTTAGTATATTATAACTGTTATAACTGTGGGCCCTATGCATCAGTTAAGATAAGCCTACTGTATAAAACGAGTCTAACTTTTGATAATCCTGAGAAATATCATGTTAAAGAATAATTTTGTTCAATTTTAGTATATAATAACTGTTGGCATAGCCGCATTAAGGTTGTCGTGGGCCCTAGGCATCGGTTAAAAAGATGAGAACTAAATATTTTCCGTGGGCCCAAAAAAACACGTGGGTCCTTGTTTCCTAATAGATGTTGGTACTCCTAACACATATTATGTTTTAAGTGTCATTGCAGCATTACGATTAAACCTCGTGAGTGGGCTAGATGTGGGCCCTCATGTCTAGTATGCCCAATGTATAAAACGAGTCTGACTGTTAATAATCCTGAGAAATATTATGTTAAAGAATAATTTAGTTCAATTTTAGTATGTAATAACTGTTGCCAGAGCCGCATTAAGATTGTCGTGGGCCCTAAGCATCATTTAGTAAGATAAAGACTAAATATTTTTCGTGGGCCCAAAACAAAAACACATGGGCCCTTGTTTCCTAATAGACAAGTAACAAATATTATGTTTTAAGTGTGATTGCAGCATTACGATTAAATTAATTGGTAACTTAGTTATCTACTCATCATTAAACTAAATAGTAATCATGAAACACCCTAAATTCATTAAACAAAATTAGGTTAACGACACTCAAATGCCATTAGTTAATTGGAATGGTTCAGAAACACACACACACTCGATACTGCATAGTTTCCAAGACAACACACGTAATAGAAACAAACGAAAAACGGTTTAGGAATAACGATTTCTAAAGCTCACGTCGACATCACATTATTATGTTGTTTTTTTTGTACATATGCATTAAAATCCAATAAACATGTATGAATGAACGAAACTTCGTCTTCCCCGTTCCATCAATTTCGGTGTCAATTGACCTTGTATTTCCGTTGGCAATGGCAACAATATTATTTAGACCGTTGATCCACTGACCACCATTGTTTCACCTGTTTTCAATCAAAGCCGACTTCGATGTTCTACAACGCATACTAATGTTTACTATAACAACAACAGAAATCGATTTTTTTTTATTTTAATTTTTCGGATCGACTACTTTCTTTCCGTACGTTTTGTGTCCGTTTCCCTAATGCAGGACGATTTGCATAATTATCGTCGTATTCATTTGAATTTCAGTACCGCCGCTCGACGTTTCACCTAAACTATGCAATTTTCATCGAACCGAACATGTAAAATACATTTAGTTTAGTTGATACGAAAAACCGCATACATAAATTATGAACACAATTCGTTCGTTTCAATATGTTAATCTATACATTTTTTTTCATCTTAAGATGACCAAATTCTTTGTTTTATCTCATCAAAACATAAATATTCATGTATTTCCTTGTTGTTACTCATACAGTTTTTTTTTTAATCCATCAAAAAAACTTACATCACATCTCGAATTTATATTTTAGTCAATCGTAAGAAATTTTAACTTTTATATTATTTTCAATATTTTCAATTATTATTAGTATCTAATAAAAATGTATAAGGAAATAAACTCTTGTAATTTGTAATTGTTTGTAATATAATTACAAATGTTTTTCATACATATAAAATTGAAGAATTCAAGTTATACAAATGTATAATTAAAACTGACATAACCTCAAAACCTACTAAATAACAACTAAACAAAGTAATAACGCTTCTTTCATGACACTTTATATTAAAAAAAATGACGATAAAATTATAAAACTAAACAAACAATCATTGAATTATTGCAATTTTTATACTAAATTCAATTATAAATACTATATAATCTATGATCTAGACTTGTTTACAAATTAATTAAGTTGTTATGTAAAAAGTATTGCAAAACAAAGTAATAGACAAATACAATTTGTATTGTCATAGTCATAGGCGAAGAATTTACTTGGTTCAAAAAAAAAACCTTATATTTGCACATATTTTCTGTTCATGGTGATAAACTTGTGTTATCTAGACATAACATATTTACACTTCTGCGATATCACCAAGTAGAAAAGTACAGTTTTAGATTTTTAAAGAAATGAAAAAAAATAATTTTAAGTCATTTTTTTCTAATACGAAACAGAATTAATAACGTAAAATTTACAAATTGTATAAAATAATTCTAAATAAATTAAAATTGTTTATTTTTTGTGATTATTGAAGAAAATAACTACAATTTTGTGTTAAATCATATTATTTTACTGTATTTAGAACATAAAATATACTAATTTCGTAATTAATTAATGGAAATATTCATTAAAGTAAATTTTGATTAATATTTTATATCTTTAATAATTTATTTTAGACATATTTTTTATAACGTGTGTTATATTAGCTAATAATGCAGCTTCGATTAGTCCGGATTTACTATTGAAAATTAAAAAAAAAAACACTCGATTAGTCCGGTTTCAAAAAATCATAGCATATGAGAGAAACCCGTACTATGTGAAATATTGTACACTATTTTTTTTTTAATAAAACCTAACGTTTTCATCAATTGTAACACATTCTTCAAATTACGATTTCAAAAAAATGATCGAATTTTTCGCTTTATACAGTCAAGTCTCTTTTGGTGTCATTTATTTCTATTTTATTTATTTCCTCAATTAGTCCGGTTTCGGATTAACAGAATCCGTACTATGCGAAATATTGTAAACTTTTTGAAATTACTATTTTTATTAATCCCATTTATAAAAAAAAAACAGTACTTTTATTAAGAATAGGGAAGTCATCATTTTTTATGTGAATTGTATTAATTTATACAACTAGTTAAAAACGTTAATATTTAAGGTACAGAAATACCTTGCATAGTGCGGTTTCAGTTAGTCCGGATTTAATAAAGTACGATTCGAAAATTTTAATCATAAAAACAGAGCTTTTGTTATGACTTAGAAAATAATCAATATTTGCATGTTAATTGTATTAATTTATGAAACTATAGTTAAGTTAAGAAGTATAGTAATACCTCGCATAGTCCGGCTTCGATTAGTCCGGATTTAATATAGAACGATTCAAAAATTTCAATCATAAAAACAGTGCTTTTGTTATGAATTAGAAAATAATCAATATTTGCATGTTAATTATATTAATTTTTGAAACTATAGTTAAGAACGTCATTATTTGAAGTACAGCAATACTTCGCTTGGTGCGGCTTCGATTAGTCCGGATTTAAAACAGAACGTTTCGAAAATTTCAATCATAAAAACAGTACTTTTGTTATGAATTGGAAAAAAACATCAATATTTGCATGTTAATTGTATTAATACATAAAACTAGTTAAAAACGTGTCATGATTTGAACCGCATAATGCGGCTTCGGTTAGTCCGGATTTAAATAACAGTACTTTTATTATGAATTTAAAAAAAACAATATTTGGATGTTAATTGTATTAATTGATGAAACTATAGTGAAGAAAGTCATGATTTGAATACAGAACGATTCGAAAATTTCAATCATAAAAATAGTATTTTTGTTATGAATTAGAAAAAAATAATATTTGCATGTTAATTGTATTAATTTATAAAAATATAGTTAAGAACTTCATGATTTGAAGTACAGCAATACCTCAAATAGTACGGATTCGATTAGTCCGGATTTAATATAGAACGATTCGAAAATATCAATCATAAAAACAGTACTGATATTATGAATTGGTAAACATCAATATTTTGATGTTAATTGTATTAATTTATACAACTAGTCAAAAACCTCATGATTTGAAGTAATACCTCGCATAGTGCTGCTTCGATTAGTCCGAATTTAATATAGATTCGATAAAACAGTTATTATGAATGGGAAGAGATAACTATATAAGAATTTATTGCAAATTCGATACGATTGAAAAGCAAGTTCAACTAACTTATTGTTGAATGACTTATGAAAACCGAATTCCAATGGAGAGTGAAATAATAGCTTCGCAAATTGGAATAATCGCATACAGATCGATACATTCCGGAAATAAAACGCGAAGGAATAATAATTGGGCATTAGCCGTGGTCGAGGTGAAAGATTTCTGTTGCAATTCCTTCCACACATACAGCCACACACAGCAATAAGGAAACGCGAGTAATTAAACTCCATTATTTTTTCCTTTCTCTCTCTTTATCTTCCCCGTCTCTTCAATTATAAATAGCTACAGTTTAATAACTTCATATTTTTTTTAAATTTCAATCCTTATAAACATCAAAGCTTGCTCTATTAATAACAAATGAATTAAACTAATGCAAAGTGTGCTTTCTCTATCAACAGCTGCACAAAAGAGACAACAAAAAAAGCAATTCCAATTAAAAAAATAACTTAATTCTATTTATGCAGATATTTCAAGACCTTGCTTGATTTTTTTTTCCACTTCTATTTGTTCGTGATTAATTATAACGTTTATTATTATTAGTTACTTTCGCGTTCGCAAATTCAATTATCCGCAAGTAATTAAATTTGGTTTCGTTGAACAACAAAGAAAAGAAAAAAAAACATGGAAACGCTCTTATTATTAATAAATTTCTAATCGATAGTAAAAGTGCTCGCATTTGCATTCGCGTATCTAATAGGAAACACTGTTAATACATTTATTGAGCAAATAATCATAGTGTGTGTGCTTTTTCTTTTCTTTTTTTTTCAAAGGAAACGTGCGATTATTTAATTTAATTACGAAATATATAGTAATAATAAGGCGGAAAACGTTCAAAATTATGAGTTTCTATAATTAGAAAAGAATTGAATACTGATTAAGTTTAGATTTCAATCAATCGATGAAAATATTTGAAAAAAAAATGACTAAATTAGTCTGCAAAATAAGTAATTGACAAATTATTGCTTTCAATTTGATTATCTTTAATTATCATATAAATATTTAAGAAAATTGATTAAGTAATAATTATTGATTTTGTCAGATTTTTACAGTATTTTCATTAGTCTATATTGGAAATATAGAAATACTTGCATAATTTTAAATAAAATGAATTTATTTTGAGAAATTACGTAATTTCAATTAGTTAATTAATAATCGCGTTCGAATTAAATTAGGAGAGTAACGTTAACATTTGTTGTTTTTGTTTTACCTCGCCTACATGTTTTAATTAGTCTTTTTTGCAAGTACAGGTAAATAAAACAAAAGAGCAACGAATATCATTAGGTGATGAAAGGTAGCAGTAAACAAAAACTCACCTGTAAACAGCCGCACCAGCCGCGGCGTGAGCGCACGGCCGGCATGGCCGGTATATGTAATCGAGGCAGGGCGTTTGTGAAATTGTCCCAGGCCGGTAATTTCAAACTGCACTTAGGAAAACCCTACAAAAAAGAAGAAAACAAACAAATAATTAGTAAAATGATTGAAGAAATGTCACAATTATTTATTGAATGTATGGTAAAATTAGGTAAATTTTCAATTAATTGTTACTTGACAAGTACTTTCAATTATTTGGCAAAAAGATATAGCAATTAACACATCATTGATAAAAAAATTAAGTACCATTAATTAGGTACACGTTACTTGTCAAGTATCGCGTAAAACCATATATGCACACTAACAATACATTCAATTATTTGCATTTTTCGTCCACATTAAATATGAAAATCTACTACAAGTTACTTGTAATGTACATGACAAGTATTTGAAAGTTTTACTATTTTGAATATAACATTTTAATTATATTTTTATATCACTGTGAATTATGAAATTACACTACATATTACTTGACAAGTATGTAAGTTGTGTATACTAAACATTAAATTATTAACAATTTTCTTTTGCAACAATTCTTAATTTTTGACATTCCTAATGTATTACATGTTACTTGACAAGTATATAAAACATCATCATAATTTATGAAAATATTAGTACTTGTTTTAATTACTTGTCTTAAATTGCGTAGCTCCACACATATACACCATACACGTTGTGCTTAGATCAAATCACCTTATTGCATTTGCCGAACACATGTGTATGAAGTTATTTCTTTTTGAGAGTACCAATGCAAGTGCAGTTACTTGGCAAATAATGTTTCAATCTTGTGTTGAAATTTGGTAATAATTGATAAACAATCCCCATTTTTCTATAGTACACACATACAACACTTGTCACACATTACTTGACAAGTATGTAAGTTGTGTATACTAAACATTAAATTATTTACAATTTTCATCCGTAATAGTTCTTATTTTTTTAATTTACTTGACAAGTTTATAAAATATCATCATAATTTATGAAAATATTAGTACAAATATTCAATTACTTGTCCAGAAATGCGTAACTCCACACATATACACCATACACGTGGAGCTTAGATCAATTGCATTTCCCGTACACATGTGTATGAAGTTATATGTTTTTGACAGTACCAATGCAAATAAAGTTACTTGGCAAGTAATGTTTCAATTTTCTGATGAAATTTGGTAATAATTGATAAACAATCCCCATCTTTCTATAAAACACACATACAGCACATGTCACTTGCCAAGTAATGATTAATGTATCGTGTTTTATTTGAAAATACACAATAAATTCATTTATAAAACTTGTTCACATTCATTACGTTTTTTCTTTACACATTTTCTCTTAGTTGCAACTATTACATTTGAACGTGTTCCACTCTGTATCGATCTTTATCTGCGATTGTTTATAAATGCGTAATAATAAGTAAATAGCACGCATGTAAAAGGATTTATTACCTCGAAAATCGAATGAAAAGAAACGTTGAACACGGCAAAACGGATCAATTCGAGGTGAATAAATATATAGAGTACATTAACATATTTCTATCTTATTAAAGCAGGTGTTTCAATGAACATTTTAGTATGATTTTTCCATATAGAAACATTGATTCAAACATATTTCACATATATACATAACTACCTCGCATTGTGCGGCTTCGATTAGTCCGGATTCGCAATAGTCGAAAATTTCAATACAAACTAAATGTTAATACAATTAAAATAAATTCAAAAAAATTTTACATACAATTATTTTTTATACATAAATGTTTTGTTTTTTTGTCTTTTATATATTTAATTCTCCTTTTTTGCGGTTATTTCTATAGTCCGGCGAATCCAATCCGCACTATGCGAAGTGTTTTATAATAAAACACGAAGAAGTATAAGCATTTCAAATGTAAACAATAGATGGAGCTGTATAAATAACAAATGAACAAGAATTCTTAAATATATTTCTTTCTACACAACGCACTAGATTGAATCATTTAATGGTTGATAGCCAATTTACAGAAAAATTACTAAATTTGTTAAATCAATTTACTTACTTTTTTTCATAACAATACAAATCTCTTGAATAAATTCTCTAATAATATTTTGTCATTTTCTTGGACAAAAAGACAACAACTCACAATTGAATTGCAAACTATTGTTTGGTAAGTGCGAAAACACGCTGCGCCGTATCACCGCATTAGTACGTACTAATCGAGTTGCTCGAAAATTACTCAACGTATCCAAACGAAACAGCAACAACAAAAAAAAACAACAAAGTTCTCGTATCAACTGTGACGTAACCGATACTCAATTGTTTATGCATACCCGTGCATATTTCAATACTTAAACAAGTTTTTTCGTTCACTTCATTTACAATTTAAAGAACCAACAAAAAAAGAATCATAATTTATTAAAAACTTGTCAAAATAACTGTTTAATTATTCAATAAGATTTATGATAATCGCGTTATAGGATTCTATTTTGTATGATTTTTACACTGAGAAGTTTTCTTTATAATTGACTTATAGTCATTAATCCCGAATTGGAAGAGTACTCACCTATCACCAATCCAAACTATTTATCGCGACGCACGTTGCTTAACTTTAACAATTAATACGTTTCTTTAATCCAACCAAATGTTTCTCATTCCACTTGTCAAAATTGACAACTATTAATACGAAACGTCAAAATTTACTGCGAATCGAGAAATTTCAAACGGAAACCGATTACGTAAATTTAACGATAGAAATTTTGTATCAGAAATTCGGACTGCAAATAACCGCTGCTGTTACGAAACTACGCGAATCCGTGTTACATTTGCTGCTGTGCAATTCACCAAAAAAAAACAAAAACAACAAAAAACAAAACACAAACAAACAAAAATGTGTATATTTGCAGTGTACATTTTACACGCATTAAATGATTCATGATTTTGAAACGATTTCGTTTCGTTGCTTAAAAAAACACCAGAAATCCAGTATTAAGTAATTTCTATATTATGCAACTTCGCTTTTATATTCAATTGTATTAAATTATATAAAAAAAAGTATACTATTGCGTTTTGTGTTGAGAGAATTATGGAATATAATTATTAAGATACGATTTAAGTTATTATGTATTAAGTTAATCTAAGCGTATCATGGAAATATCTACTGATTCTTAATTGGAATTTGCTATAAATTTAATGGTAAATAGAAATAGTTGCATAATTTTTCAGAAAAATGACTTAATTCATTTTTAAAAGTCGCATAAAACTTAAAAAACAATTAGCTATTATCAGGTAAAAGAAAAACATTTACGATTATAAAACTATTATTACTGTTTTGTTTCTTGAAATTATAAATTTTGGTATTAAAAAAAGAGCTACAAATACAACATTTCGACAAATCTCAAATCAATTACATTTCACGACTGTTTCAAAACATGTCTAGAAGACCCCTAGGTTGGACCTATTGAAGAAGAGTTTGGCAAAGGCGCAGAGCATTCAACTACGAAATTTGCTGAAGGATGTGATCAATTTAAAGAAATTAGAAGAATTCTCTGAAGATTTCGGTGGACGCTATTTGCAGGGTGGTGCAGGAATTGAAGGAAATCGGAAAGTGGTCACCAGATTGGAATAGAGTTTTGATACATTTAGATGTAGTTACCAGAAGAGATTGGAATTAGTATTCCGGGAAAATGCAAACGTTTGTACAGCTCATGCAGTTTTTGGAGATACGCACTCCATTAATTCCAAGTAAAAATACATTATTTTTGCAATTTTTTTGGATTTTACATTGATCAGAAAGGTTTTGTCGAATTGTTGTCGAATTTGTTGCCGGAATTCGTATTCCGGGAAATCGTCAAGTTTTGCAAAATTTTTTAAAGTTTTGAAGAAATGCATTTCTACTTTCAATCCATAACATAGACAGAACAAAATATGTTTATTTTTAGTAAATTTAACATAAATTTAGTCTTAAAACGTTATTTATATAACTAAAACTTTAATTTAATAAAAATTTCAAATATATTGATTTTACATGATGATAATTTTCTGGTATTAATTAATTGTTTGTAAAATTTTGATCATATACATACAAATACACAACAAAGTTAACAGTAGAATTCACGAATTGTTATGTGAGCATGTTTATTGGAATGCTTAAATTGATCACATTGTTGAAAAGTGCATTGATTGTATGGTGAACTTGAATGGTGTTGCATAAACGAATTGGCTTCGCTTTGGTTTATTGCATAAATCATTACGGATTGATGTTATATTACCGTACAGTGTGTGTGTATAACAACAGTTTGAAGTGGATCAGAGCACAGCACAACTAAGAACAGCACGCGTTCGGTATGCAAGAAACGCCACTTGACTGAGACGTTTATCTAAACACCATTTTTTTTTTGTATTCCTTGCTTCAATGTTCATATAATTTTCTATTTGATGGACTGCTTTGGAACGACTATAAATCTGGAAATCGAACATTGAAAATTCAAGATCGGAATTTCCAAGGCGTTTTCCAAGAAGCCGACAGTGCATTGTTTTTAAGAAATGCGAGGCAAAAGCACCTGAGGCGCAGCGGAATTAATTGGTTCGCTATAAATGATTAGAATTGCTGAGGTTTTACTCAATTCTACTTTCATAGAAGAATTGACTTAATTATCTAGTTGAGTCGATGAAAACAATGGATTTTGATCAGTTTTGTATAAAAAATCTACAAAATTATGCATAAATTGATGAAAAAGAAAGTTTAGAAAACAATGAAATTGCGTCTAAATTAAATAAACGTCTTTACATTTTTGCTTTTATATCGAAAATTATACGTAACATATTAATTTTTTTTTAAGCTTCGAAAAAACGTCTTTACATTATTGCTTATAAATCAAAAAATATCAGAGACAAATTAATTATTGAGTACCCAAATTAAAGCTAAATATTCACTCTTTAAATCGTATATATTGTTATTATTGTATCATTTGTCAATTAGCCGTACTTCACTGACAAACTTGATGAAACTTTTTTATAAACTTCGAAAAAATGTCTTTACTTTATTGCTTATATCACAAAAATTATCAGCGACAAATTCATTGTTGAATAACCA